GAGCGGCCAGCGAGAGGGCCTGGCGGGGAACGGGCGCGATCCTATCCGCGGCCCCGCAGCGGACGCGTCCGGGGAGTCGCAGGCGGCTGCGTCCCTGCTGGCCCCCATGGACCTGGGGGAGGAGCCCCTGGAAAAGGCGGCGCGCGCCCGCACGGCCAAGGACCCCAACACCTATAAAGTGCTCTCGCTGGTAGGTGCGCGCCCCGGCCCGGCGCCCGGGAGGGCTGGGAGGGCGACGCAGCCGGTGCGCCCCGAGCGCGGTCAGCACCCCTGACACGGAGAGAGCTCACGTGCGGCTCCGAGCTCCCCAGCTTCTTCACACTCCTTTGCAGGCTCCAGTACTTGCGCATCATCGCCTTCTGTTCCTTGTCTTTACCGCAGGGGAATGAATGGTTCACTTGCATTACTGATGCCTGTACGCCTTTTTATGGAGTCGGGGATTTAACACTGTGGTCGTTAAAAACACCACCTCTGCCTCCTGGGAATTATATAGAATGTTGGAGGGTAAAACACCAGCCACAAGTTGTCGGACTTAGAAAGGTTTTACCTCTTCGCGATGGCGCTGGGTGAGGTATCAATGACTTTCCCAGTTCCCAGATTCCACTTGCCAGGATTCAACAGATTTCTTTAAGTTTTAGTGGGAAGTTCAGAAAAGAATTATTCGTTTGTCTAGCTTTGTTTAAAAGTTTCCTTGCAGGTGTTCTGATATTTCATCAGTATTGATAGTATGTGAATATAAAGAAGTGTTTATGGCTTTTGTCTTTTCTTTTAAGCATAGGTTACATGGTTTTAGTTGCCCGGAGAAGTACCACTTATTCCTCTGCTATTTTGTTAGGACAGTTATAGGACCCACCGTCAACCTCATGAAATGTTTCTTCATGATCTATGGTGCAAGTGCTGGACTGAGAGGTAGAAAGTCTGGGGTTTGGGTTTCATGGCCATTATTAATTGCAACTCTCTCTAAACTCCAGCATCTTTTGTGTTAAAAAGAGGACGTTACTCCATTGAAAAACACATTTAAGATTATTGAATGGATCAAATGGAATAACGGGTGGGCTCGAGTAAAATTTTCAGTGTAGATGTAATTGCTATTATGGCGGTATATAGAAGTAATATTTATCTGCATAAAATACCCCCAAAATACACACTATTATTACTTACATACTATGTTTGCTGCGCTGGATAGCAAATACCTTTTCTGATTAATTTCCTGAGAGTTTCCATTTCTACTGTATTTTGGATATCAAGGCGATGTTACAGTACTTTGAGGAACCAACATTCCTAGAATGAGGTGGTGTCACATATTTAGTACTTAAATAAGCCTAAGGTTTATGCCACATAAGATTTGTATCTGAGATATATTCCAGCATCCATCATGGCTTGAGTGTAGAACACATGATATGAAACTTTCATTTTAATTCATTGAGTCACTTTTTTGTTTTGTTTTGTTTTTGTCAATGGGAGACTTTAGTTTTTACAAATGGTCGCTGAAAATTATTTAGTATTGGTACTTTCAGGTGATCAGCACACAATGCCATTGGTCTTGGAAAGGTGCTGATTTTCCAATTGCTAAATTCAGTATTTAAATTTTACCTACTTATTTACTTACAGATTCAGGGTAGTTATCAGAAAAGGCTACCTTTGGATTGTGCATTTCAGTTCTTGACACAGTCAGCTGGGTAAATAGCATTCCTTTAAGCTTTTATGATGCAACTCATTGTTTGACATGGAAGTGTGTCAGGGAGTATGTCCAGAAGCAGGGCAATCATGAACATTTTTTATCCCATTAGGTAGCAACTTTAGCTGTAATCCATGTCCAATTCACTATAATTGGAAAGCACTTTTACCTCATGTTTTACGATCTACTGTTGGGCATTAATATACCCCAAAACACATTGTTTTATTTTTGAAACTCTCAAGGATTGAATTGAAAGCAAAGTCCATCACCCACTTCTCTTTCCTTGTCTTACTTTAATACCACCTTTTCACCCTTCCACCCCCAATCCTGCCTCATTCCCCTCCAGGACCCCAGCCCAGCCCTTCCTCACATTATGATTCCAAAGGGGACTTGACAATTATCAAAGCGCACTGGGACATGTCCTCTAGAAAGAGGATGCAACTAGAAATTCCTTTTTGAGGTTAACATCACACTTTTCATAAAATTGAAGAAACAGATGGGCTATTGCATATGGGGTTGGTTCTCAGGTTCATACGTTTTATCTAGAATGATAAAAACAAGAGTTGCCTTGCAGAGAATTAATTATTTAGTGGCAACTAGACTTTTCCTTTTTTTCTGAGAATGTTTCAGATAAAATGAAATGATATAGGTTAAGAGTGGAGATAGAAGAGAAGGTTCTTCCCTTCACTTCCTTCTTCCAGCATGGTGTTTGATCCCTGGGGAAGAGAAACACACTCTGCTTTGGGAGCTTTTGGTTCTGGGCCCTAGAAGCTCAGGCCTAGCAACTGAGCTAGACTAGAAGAAGAAGCATACACTAGTATTAATCTTTGTATGTGTCAGTAGATGCACTAAATACTGGATGCCTTTCCTTGGCCCCAAATTAAGATTTGAACTGCAATGTAAACTTCCACTGAGGTTGGACTTGAAGATTCATTTGCAATGTCCTTGTTTCCTGACTTCATGTTAAAGTGCTCATTTTCAGCCACCTCTAGTACACTTGTCCATTGATGGGGAGCTCTCCTGCAGCATGGTGTATTTGTCACTCCTGCTGTTCTTATGAATATGTATACCTGTTTACTCAAAGCACACACTGCAAGAGCTGCTTTGTGTGTGGGTGGCAGTGATTAAAGACCATTCTTAGTTTTCTGTGAAAGAAATCTTTGTCTTGGCAGGGGTTGGCCTTATTTATCAGAAATTTGGGTAAGTTATTCTGTTAGCTTCTCTCTCCTTCCTTTTGCAATGCATTATCTTTAGAATACTCCATGGAGAATAGTCAAGACAGTTCTCTGCTCTTAATCAAATTGAATGGACACTGATTTTTGGTTTCTGAAATTTAATTAACCTTTCTAGTCATAGTTTAGCATTACTTTGAGATGACCAGAGCATCTTTGGGGCCATAGAGGTTTTCCCTTTGCCCTGCAAGGTAGATGTTTTACATGTTCTGATAAAATATGACTAAAGTTTCTAGGAATTCAATAAGTGCCTGACATTCAGTGTCAGTTTCTGTTTGAATGAAGGATGGCACTGTGTTTTTACTTAGATAAAATGATACTATGACATAGACAGCACAAGATTAAATATAAAACCACAGACCCATATGGTCAGCGGATAGTTAGAAATCCAAATATACATGCACTGTTAGAGGTAACACTTGGGTGTAGACTCAGTGGCAAGACTGGATGCCATTGTATTGGGCTAGTGAACTGAAGGGGCAGTCAGTGAGCTCACAGCGAAAACGCTGACAAGTGTGCTCAAGAACAGGCTGTGACGTGATGACTTGCACTTAGAAGCAGGCTCAGCCCAGTGTGGCCATCTGGCATGCAGTAGGAAGGAAGGACATCCTGTGGGTGCAGGAAAGTCCCCTTTACTTACACTGAGGCCTCTTCTGTTTTGGTGAATCTGTAGTCACATCCATCAGTTTTCACAGCTTTTAAAGTCTTTTCAAGCATCGCTCCCCATCCCTTTCTTCTACCTTCACTGGTAGTCTGGTCTTTTTCTTCCCTACCATTTACATCTCAGCTCTTCCCACTCCATGCAGTTTCTTTCTCTGGGGTTCACAGCACCCTTTCACCACCTCTAGTGTTCCACTTATTCTGATAATTTTGCCATCTCCTGTTCCCTTCATATCCTAAGTATGACTTTCAAGAGCATCCCTAGTGGCCATGCTGAGATGCCGTATGTGTTCTGTAGGATAAAAATCTGAGGCCATTAACCTTTTGAGAATCTCTATAGAAATATTTCTCAACTTCTCATTTTCCAGCAAACTTTCCCCCTCTGGTGTCAGTATTAAAGGTAAATGCAAATAATTTTAGTTTTATGAATTTCACTCAAAATATGTAACTTTAGCAAATGCACTTCATCTATATTATGGACTTCAGGGATAAATCAGAGAGCTTAGCCATGATTCATAGCTTTTTTTTTTTTTTTTTTTTTGCGAGGGGAGAGGCAGTTCAAGTTCTAAACAGCCTAGGAACAAATAAGCCTTTAGTATACAACTTGTAATCTGCCTTTCATGAAAATAAACATACCTCTATTAATCTTGAAATATTCCCTAAACTACAAAAAATAAACAAGAAAGCTTTTAGCAAATGAACTCAAGGTAGAACATAGATTACTCTTCTGAGCCTATATTCTATACAACAAGAACTGATATTCAGAATTCTGACCCAATGTGAGAATACTTTGTCACTGAAGAAGAGCTAGGTTTGGATTTACCAAGGAAATAAAGGGAAAGGATATATTTAAGAAGGTTTTTCAAGAATCACAGTGATGTTTTTAACTAAATGTTAACTTGAACATGGTATTTACTGAGTATTTTAGTTGCGTGCAGTTTAATTACAAGAATTGAGGTAGAATCTCTTTTCCAGCATCTTCTCCTCTCTCACTTTTTGTTTTTGGATAAGATTTGGTGGAAATGGAGGTGGTTGAACATAAATATAGCACTATGTCATTTCAGGAAGCATTTTCCCAAGTAAATATTTTTATACGTTTTAAATATTTATTACAAACTAAATACTGTTATAAAACTTTAAATTAACTAACATGTTATAATCTTCCCATGCAGTTATAAGAAATAAGACAGAAAGCTCTATATCTGCTTCATCCAGTTCCCCCAACTGGTGACAGTTGTAACTATAGTACAATAGCATACTTATCAAGCCTTTTTCTTTTTTTCATTAAACTTATTTTCATGCATCGTTAAGTTTTGGATAGTATATGACTTCAGGTGTAGTTTTCCCACTACCCTAGTCTTTATTCTTAATTGATTCTCAGTACCTTACCAACTCAGAGTAGGACAGTGTGGTGACAGTGAATCTTACTTTACAGTCAAGGAAACTGAGGTGCATAGGGTTCCAACAGGGTTTCTGAAGCATTAACTTGCATAGGAACCACTTGGAGTCAAGAAAGGTATAGATTCTTGGAGTTAACCCCAGTGATTATTACTTCAGCTACTTGGAATTTCTATGGCTTGAACATCTGTGTCTCCACCAATTTTTTTTTGTTGAAATACC